AGTTAACCAACCAACAGAATTCGTGAATTCATTAGTGGTAGTAAGGAAAAAGGATGGAAATTTAGAGAGTGTGTTTAGATCCTCAGCACCTTAACCAAAATATACTGAGAGAACATTATCACATACCAACCTTTGAAGAAATTTCATCTCAAATGACAAATGCAAAGGTCTTTAAAATTTTAGATGCAAACAAAGCATTTTGGAAAATTAAACTGTCAGATTCAAGTTGTGAATTTACTACATTTAACACTCTGTTTGGTAGATATTGTTTTTTGAGGTTGCCATATGGACTGAGTTCATCACCAGAAGTTTTCCACAGAAGTTTTTTCTGAAATTTTTAGTGATTTAGAAGGAGTTCAAATATATATAGATGACTTATTAGTTGTTTTGGGTAAAGATAAAAAAGAACATGATTCAAGATTAAAGAAGTTGTTGGACAGAGCCAGAGAAAAGAATGTTAAATTTAATTTAAATAAATGTAAATTTGGGCTGAATGAAGTGAAATATATGGGACATATATTTTCTAAAGATGGTTTTTTAAAAACCAGATGAAGACAAAATTAAGGCTATTCTAGATATAAAACCACCAAAAAATGTGTGAAAGAATTAGAAACTTTCCTAGGAATGATTACATATGTTTCTAGATTTATACCTAATGTATCAGAATTGACATCATGTTTAAAGATTTGTTGAAAAAACAAGTTATCTGGAACTGGAATGCAACAATGAAAAGCATTTAGAAGACTAAAAGATGTCTTGGTAAATAAACCAGTTTTACAGTATTATGATATAAACATGCCAGTAGTTTTATCTGTAGATGCATCTCAAGAAGGACTAGGAGCAGTCTTACTGCAGAATAATTTACCAGTGGCATATGCATCTAAGGCATTAACAGATACACAGAAGAATTATGCTCAAATTGAAAAGGAAACTTTAGCTATTGTATTTGCGTGTGAGAAATTTCACCAGTATACATTTGGAAAAAATATTACTACGGAAAGTGATCATAAACCACTGGAATCATTTTTTAAAAAGCCATTAAATACGAGGGCCATCCAGGAAGTAGATTACGTTTCCGTCTGTGTCCGCTAGGGGCGGGGCTAGCGCGGCCATCTTGGGGTCAGAGCGTTGCGCAGCTCAGTCTGCATCTAGCCGTGCTAGTGAGAGGTTCGTGTTGTGCTCCGTTCAGATACTGTGACGGTTTGAAATGTCTGCGTTAATTGAAAATCCCGCGAGCTGCGCTCAGTAATAAGGTTTCTGACTGCAAAAAACTGTAAACCGATAGAAATCTATCGGCAGCTTCGTGAAGTGTATGGGGACAACTTATCACTGAAGGTGGAGTGCGTCAGTGGGTCATAAGATTTCAAAATGGCCGAACCAATGTTCACGACGAAGATCGAAGTGGGAGACCCAGCATAGTGACCGCCGAACTTCTCGAAAAAGTCGATGCTAAAGTCCGTGAAAATCGAAATTTCACAATAACGGAACTTTCTTTGAGTTTTCCACAAATTTCGCGAAGTTTGTTGCACGAAATCATCAGCGAAAAGCTTGGTTACCACAAGTTTTGTGCAAGATGGATTCCAAAAATCTTGACAGAGGACCACAAAAATCAGCGAATGGCTGCAGCGTTGAACTTTTTGGACGCTTACCATAAGGATGGTGACTCTTTACTCGATCGCATCGTTACTGGTGACGAAACATGGGTGAAACATGTGAACTGTGAAACGAAATTGCAATCAATGCAGTGGGGGCACACAAGTTCTTCCCCAAAACCCAAGAAATGCATGCAAACAATGTCGGCAAGGAAGATGATGGCGACTGTTTTTTGGGACAGAAAAGGTGTAATTTTGGTGGACTTCCTGGAAAGAGGCACTACAATAAACTCTCAAAGGTATTGCCAAACTCTCCAAAAACTCAGAAGAGCAATTCAAAACAAGCACAGAGGAATGTTGAGCTCTAAGATCTTGTTGATTCACGACAACGCCCGGCCCCACACGGCAAATGTCACTCGTAAAGTTCTTGAATCTTTTAAGTGGGAGTAGTTGTTTCCTCATCCGCCGTACAGTCCCGACCTGGCACCGAGCGACTTCCACCTATTCCAGCAATGAAGAAGTGGCTGGCTATGCAACGTTTTGATGACGACGCACAGCTGCAAGAAGAGGTAACGAAGTGGTTGAAGGCGCAGGCGGCCGAATTTTTCGACGAAGGAATTTCCAAGCTCGTACATCGCTACGATAAATGCCTTAATTTGTATGGTGACTATGTAGAAAAGTAGTATTTGAGTGTGGCTTTCATCTGTATATAATAAAATTTGTTTCCTATACTTTGTTTATTTTTTTATTCCAAAACGTAATCTACTTTCTGGATAGCCCTCGTAAATGCCCTGTAAGACTACAAAGAATGCGTATAAGATTACAGCCATATCAGTTTGAGGTAAAATATAAACCAGGAAAAGAACTTTTTATAGCGGATGCATTATCAAGATCATTCACTGATAAAGGATCTGATTTCTTTGAAGGAGAAATAGAAGCTCATGTTGGATTAGTTGTAGAATGTATACCAATGTCTAATGGTAAAATGGAAGTTTTTCAACTGAAAACAGAAAAAGATGAAGAACTACAAGTTTTAAGAAAATTAATTAAAACTGGATGGCCAGATGAAAAATGTATGGTTCCAGAACTGGCAAAACCATATTTTAACTTCAGAGAACTATCAGAAGCAAATGGATTAATATTTAAAAATTCCTGTGTTGTTGTACCAAGAAGTTTACGAAAAGATATGTTAAGCAGAATTCATTATGGTCATTTAGGAGTAGTAAAATGCAAGATCAAAGCAAGAGAAATATTATATTGGCCAGGAATGTCGAATATGTAACTGTAACTGTCGAAAGAAATTGAAGATTTGGTACTGAATTGTCAAACATGTTTAAGTTTACAAAAAGCTAATACTAAAGAACCAATGATATCTAAAGAAATACCTAATGGTCCATGGGAAGTATTGGGAACAGACCTCTTTTACTTTCAAGGAAGGGATTATCTAATAGTTATAGATTATTTTTAGCAAATATGTTGAAATTGGACATTTGGAAGATTTGTCAAGTGTAGCAGTGATAAAGCAATTGAAATCAATTTTTGCAAGACATGGTATTCCGAAAATAGTATATTCGGATAATGGTCCACAATATAATTGCAGGAAATATAAAGATTTTGCAAGAAGATGGAATTTTGAAACCAGAACTTCAAGTCCAAAATACCCACAGTCTAATGGAATGGTGGTTGAAAGACATATTCAAACTGTCAAGCGAATGTTAGAAAAAGCTGTAGTTGACAACAAGGATCCATATTTAGTTTTACTGGAATATCGTAACTCTCCTATTTCAGATGAAATTAAGTCACCTTCAGAATTGATGTTTGGAAGAAAAGTAAATGGATTGATGCCTATAAAAGAGAATTTTGTCCAAGCTAAACGATATGAAGACCATAAACAACATTTACTGAAGAGACAAACCTTACAAAAAAAGTTATTATGATAGGAATGCAAGACCATTAAAACCACTGAAAACAGGAGATCATGTTTACATAAAAGAGAAAGGGAAAAAACTAAATGAAAGAGGGAAAATTATAGAAGAAGCAGAAAGACCACGTTCATATAGGATTATAAGAACAGATGGAAGAATTGTAGAAAGGAACAGAAGAGACCTTCTTAAAGGAACTAATCAGGAAGAGTTTGCAATACAAAACAACTATGAGAATGAAGTTATAGATGAACCCGAGATACATGAAAATAGTAGGAGCACTACAAATTTAGATGTGATTTAGATGTGCCTGTAAGACCTTCAAAATCTAACAGAAGTGTTGTGTCACCAAATAGTGAAAGAGGTATAGTATCATCAAATTTTTGAAATGGACATAACTACGTCACTCGATCTGGTAGGACTGTTAAGAAACCTTATTATTTAAAAGAATATGTTTAATTTTACTACTTTTATTATTTTTTATAAAAAAGGGAGATGTTATATATGTAACTGTAACTGTATCTATTATTATCTTTAACCATAACTGTAATATAGAATAGTAGATGGGTAATGTAGAATAAACGATGTTTGTGTACATCTTGTAATCATCACAGAGCACGTACCCAATACATATAAAATACAACACAGTAATATGGCAGCGTGAAGTTTCTCGCCAAAAATATTTGGCGCGAAATTTGGCGACTTGAGGGCGCATATCAGAGTAGTTCCAAAGGGAAAATAATAAAGAAAAAGACTTCTGGGATCAAAAGAAAAATATTCAAATATTATATTTTCATTGTTCTTCCAAAAATTCTCCTAAAAGTAAGAAATTTATCACAAAGTTTCTGTAAAATGCATTCATTGCATGTTAATACCATAAAAACATTTTTCATTTTATCATATTTTTGGGGAATATTTTAGAATTGTGGTTCTCTAAATCTTGCTTTCAAATCCTTCTAAACTTTCCAATTTGCAATGTCTAAAATCCCAAAGCTATCTCTACCATTTCTGTAACAGCAAAAAACCAGAAATATTTTTTGGGCAAAAAAAAAAATCAAAGTAAGAAAGTGTAAAATGAATTTTATAGGGGGGGAATGCATATTCTAAACATGGGAAAAACTCTTACCATGAAAAGGTAAAAAGAAGACATTTTTAATTAATTACCTAGGTATTTTCCTTTTGCTATAAATTGTTTCGTAAATTGTGCTTTATAACATTTTATTAACTTGTTTATTTTTCAGATTCAAATTATTGTAGTAATAAATTGCCAAAATGGAAAGTAAATTTACTTTAAAATATGACATGGAAAAATAAAAAAAAAGTTTTATTTTAATGTTATTTCTTAAATATAATTTCAGTACATTATTATTATGTTGATGAAATTTGTCAGAGCAAATTATATTGCAAAAACAAATAATGATAAAAAAAATTTAAAAAGAGAGAGGGAGAAAAACATTACAAACATTACAAAAAAATTTTAACTCACATTTGGTAACAATTCCTTCAACACAAACAACATTGCTCAGATAGCTGGACACAAGAGTTCTTGGTGTCACATGTCTTGATCCAAAACTATGCGAATTAATAAAATAATTATAAAATCCAGTAAACAACTTAAAACACATAAAGCATAGATTCTTCTTTAAAAGTTAATAAAATTTTGAAAGTTGGGCAAGGGATCAAGAAAGAAATATATTAAAATGAAATACTGAGCAATAGGATTGATGAAGAATACTTGAACAGAAAAAAGAAGAAAATTATTACTTTAGTAAGGAATATCATGTTTATAAACATACCTTCCTTCCAAAGCAATAAAAAAGGCCTCTTTTTCTTTTGAATAAGTTGGATCTGCAGCAGCAACAAATTCTTTCAGTGCTCGTTGAAAGGCAACCAACTCTTCGAAAGATGCTGCTAATAAGCTGAAAATGAAAATTTTAAATATTATTTTGATAAATCTGTAATACTCAAAAGAATAAATAGGAGAATTAAAGAATTACATAAATACCTTTGAAATGACTACATTCCTAAATTTAATCACAGTTGACAAACGATTTTTCCCATTATACAATTAGTTTTAACAGAACTTAAATTTACACACTAAGATATTGAAATGAATGACAGTGCAGGAAGTCCTTGAGTGATGAACGAGATATGTTCTTGACAATATCCATACATTGCATTTGTAACTCAAGCTCCTAATAAATAGCACATTCATGTACAATAATTAGGTTTTTATCAGTGGAGGAACAACCTTGAAAAAAATCTGTGATGCCCCTCACTGATCAATGATCAATGAGGGTTCAGTTACAGGGGTCTTAGGCAAAAGAGCCTTTATCCTACATCATCAAAGATTTAAAATTTACAAATGAAGTTGAGTTCTCCAAATAGGAAAATTTTCTGCCAATTTATTTCACAATACTACTAACTAACTGCCTTCTGCAGGAAAATATCTCAAATGCAAACATCAAAAAACGGAAAATTTTATTTGAAATTTTGGGTCGAAAAGGTAAGGGCCAGTTGAAGAGATGGAAGTTCTGCATAAATAATTTTTGGTAGAAATTTTAATAGTGTGAAAATTTGTTGATCGATGATCAGTGGTGTATACATATGTGAAGAAAAGAACAGCCTATGAAGTCACTGAACTCACTAACGGTTGGATTTTTTAGGGGAAGGAGATGGTAAAACTCATTTAGTGAGTTAAGATAGAAGAGAGTTAGTAGTCAGCCAACTCTGAAGAGAAATTTGTACTCAAAAGACAAGAATTTAGTTACATTAGTAATTTAAATCCAAATTTAAAAAAAAAAAAAAAAAAAAAAAAAAATTTAAGAAATGAATACGAAATTTATTTAAAAGCTAAGTACAACCATTTATGACTGAACAAAAAATAATTTGCCTCTCTTCAGAGGACAAAATATCAATGCATCAATGGACTAAGCTTGATAGTGAGGGGAACTGGAACAAGGAATTTTGATTCATATGAGGCATGGTGACATTTCTTGAGAAATGAAGAAGCAATGTAGCTATTTCCAAGACTGCCTGGGGTCTTTTCTTCAGTAATGCAACTGCTGAGCTATAAACAGGTAGTTGATTCATTCAGAATAGGATTCCCAATCAGGTGCATTGTTTTTAAATGCATTAATCAAAAGTTGCTATATAAAGCAACATACTATAAGAATTTGCACACTATTATCAATGTTCTCATTCCTTATGAACTAAGAAGCTTTAAGTACCATATACAATTGTGTAATGCGCTCATGTAATGTCCACACCCAAAAAAACTAAATTTCTTACTTAGAAAAAAAAATAAAATACATATACATATTTTTATAACATTGCCTTTTTCCTTTTAGGCAATGAACATCTTTAAAGAAAGAATATGCATTAGTTTTTGTTTTAGGTAGGTGCCAGGATGGAAAGTGGAGACTTTCCTTGCATTCTGGAGCAGATGTTATTCAGTTATAACATCGGCACCAGCAGTCCACTCGGCAGACACAATAATAAATGAAGGCAGTCCAAGCAGGTTTTCACCACACTGGCTTTCAGGAAATACTATTTTGTAATGAAATTTCTTGCCCCTCCTTCCTCCTTGGAGCATTCGCATATTTCAAGCTTTCTCTTTTCATTCATAGTATCATTTGGAACTTGTGATAGTTAGCAAGTAGTGTGGTTGAAATGGGAAAATAGAGCAGCTATACAGCGGCTTTTAAACTGAAAGTTGTAGAATTTGCACAGGAAAATGGAAAAAGAGCAGCAGGAAAATATATAAGGTGGATGAAAAGTGTGCGCACAACTGGAGCAAACAGTGTGATCAACTCACGGCAAACGAACAAAACAAGACATGCATTTCATGGTTCGAAATGTAGGTTTTGAAGATTTTTTCTATATTTTAAATTGTAGAAATACATTGATAGTCATCATTATGCAACGCATTGCTCAAATTAAACTTTAAATATTAATTTATCTTGAATTCTCTTTTTTTTTCTTCTGGGACAGCTTATGTAAGCAAAATTTGAAAATGGGCCAATTTCTCTAAAAACAGAAGCTATAATTTAATTAGCAATTAATTGAAATATATGAATAATTTGCTCTCCACTTTAAGAACTCTTTTTAAAAATCTAAGTGCTTTAATCCCATTTAACTCACAGTCCCTACCAATTGAGCAAACAAAGATTAGCATCAATAAAAAAAAAAAAAAAAAAAAAAAAAAAAAAAAAAAACGTTTTGCATTTCTAAGACAGATATGCAGCAATCACATTTCATGATATATGTATTTCTTACACAAAAACTTAAATGATAAAACAGCATGGAATTAAAATACAATTTATCCGTAATTGCACAAAAATGGCATTGCGCACACTCTTGACTTTATCCATGTACATGCTAAAGTCCTAGCTAGTAACCTTTACCGCCTTACCAAATTGTCGCCAAATTACCTGTTACCATATTCCAAAGATTAGCTCAATTATTAATAAGAACTTTTTAACACTTTGAAACTCAAAATGTAAATACCTCTGACAGCGAACCGAGTTCTTTCTCCTCAAATCATTGATGTTGACAACCATTCTGCAACTTTTCCGATTTATCATATCCTTCACAGCTTGGCTGTATACACCTTGGTCATCCTGTATAATAAAGCAAAAATACTACTTCAAAGAGAATAATGTATAAAGTTTACTTTTTTAAAGAAAAATGTATGTAAGAAAACAAACTTCTGCATAAAAATGTAAACAAAAAGTTTGATGTTAAAGTTAGATTCAATTAAATAAAATCATTTTTAGTATTAATTTCTCTTTACATCAGAATAAAAGAAAATGCAATAAAATTATTACATCATCATCTAAAAAGTCAAGATATTCTTTCTGAATATCCCTGAGTCGCTGATCAACATCAATATCAGCCATTTTAAATAAATGTACTTTATTAAACAGCTAACAGAACATAAACTTGCGAACTAATCGACAGCAAGCGAAACAAGAAGAGATTTCCCCGCCAAAACGGACCGCCACGTCCATGCTGAGTTGTTTCATAACTGGTTATGAAACATAGCTGGTTAAATTATTTCGGGTTGTAGCATATTAAAAAAGTACAGGGCACAAATCTTCATAAATTATACGCATAATTATGATAATTTGGAATAGTAATTATTTTAATATAAATTCATTAATGCTCGTTTCAATTTTGTACCAGCTCAATTAGAACATTTTGTAATGAAATTGGCAACAACTGAACAAATACTTGAAATAGATACAGTGATAACAATATCTGTGATTAATGTATTAGTATATCTATGGTTTTGTAAGATTTATTTAGGAATAATTATGTCTAGTGATATATCAAAAGCAGAATTTTTGAAAAGGTACTTGGAAGATGATAAAGATAAAGAAAAAAAGCGCAAAAAGAAACATAAAAGCTCCATTTCCCGGTAATACTTTTCCTTGCGTGTTCTTTACTTTTAATTATGATCGCTTGTTTTTGTTTACAGGGTTATGTATATGAGCATTCTGTTAACCTGGTGTACTGTAGTGTAGAATTGGGTGTCCCTTCGATTAGCGACAAATTTTGGCGATGAAACCTAATTTCTGGTTACCATGATAGTTTTAACTTTGTTTTAGATTCCTGATTTTTTTTTTTTTTTTAATGAAAATAGATTGATGTGTAAATGGACAAAGTTAAGGCAGAGCACAATGCCTAGTTTGTGCATTTCTCTGATGTATTTTAAGTGAAAATAGATCGATGTGTACATGGACACAGAGTTTGTGCAATTCTTTGACTTTTTATTTTGGTTTTGTGTAGCGGCCATCTTGATATTGTGCCTTCCTGGTGCCGAACTTGGCGGTCAAAAAAGAATCGCCAAAAAACAAGGGGCACCCAGTTGTAAACTTGGTAAAAGTATAGTTTAGGGTACCCCTTTGGCGATTTTTGGCGGTACATAGATACCGATTTTGGGTTGATCTTTACATTATGGTAACTTGGCGTTTTTTTGGCGAAAACTCTTCTACAGCAACCCTCTATTTTTTTTTTTCCCGCCGCCATTTTGTCTTCACGAAGTAAAGACATGTTTCATTTCTTTTTATCTACTGAACACTTCTTCCAACAATCTACTAGCCGAATTACACTTATGCTAGAAATTTTATCTAACAAAACTGCTTAATCATGACAAATATTCACTGCAAAATTGGGAAAAAGTGAACAATACCATACTCCTTACGCGTTTTTCAAAATAACACATACACATAAACCATGTACACGCCGACTTATTTTTACTTAAAAAAACATCCCAGAATTGCACAAAAATGGCCATTGCGCACACTCTTCACTATATCCATGTACACTGCTTTTTTCTCATAAATTAGAAAAATTTCACGAAAATACATGACAATTTTCTGAATCTTTAAACCCGGTAAAAAGACATATATGAAATTACCCATGATCGCGAAAAAAGTTATACCCTTTCCAAATATGAACATTTCCACATATAAAATAAATAAAATATCCAAAAACTTTTACCTCTAAATCATCTATTACATTATACACGTCACCAACGAATTCATACCACAAGCGTTACAAATACTTAGTATCAAATATTTAAATTATTTCCATGCACGTTTACTTCAACTTAAACGTATACCAAATTCCTACAAACATAAAATTCACAAAATAACTATCATTTAATTAAAATATAATTAAATTCAAAAAACACTACTTAAAATATAAATGAGCACATACATTAAATTAATAAAAATTACCTTACAATCCTAATTACTTTAAACTAAATCATTGCTAATAACAATTTTCCCAATAATACCAAATTTCTTTACTTCCACCTTACATTTAGAACAATGCATAAAAATAATATCCACAAATAATTAAAAAATACTAACTTACCTAATCTTCTTCAGAATCTTGATTACGTGTCCGATAAACTTTTCTTTAGTTACGGCCATAGGATCCAAAAATTCACGAACACTGTTTCACACAACACAGAATAAACCAAATACAAAATTTCCAGATTTTTTCCCGATTTCCCCCCTTTTCCGATTAAAGAACAGTAATTTGTTCATTAATATCACGACATATCCCATGATCTCTCGTTTCCCTCACACAAAATAATGCGTAATCGGAACTGAGTACTGCTCACATTATAACCAAAGTCCCAGGTAGTAACCTTTATCGCCTCCAAAATGTCGCCAAACTACCAGTTACCATATTGTAAAGATCAATCCGATTTTGTGCAATTCTTTGACTCTTTATTTTGGCTTGCAAAGCGGCCAAGCTACACAAAGCTAAAATAACAAGACAAACAATTGCACAAACTCAGTATCCATGTACACATCAACTTATTTTCACTTCAAAAAAAAATCCCGGAATTGCACAAAAATGGCATTACGCATTCCTTTGACTTTCTCCATGTACATGTCGACCTATTTTTCACTTACAAAAAATCCCCGAATTGCACAAAAATGGCATTGCGCACTCATTTAACTTGATCCATGTACACGTCGACCTATTTTCACTTTAAAAAAAAAAAAAATCCCAGAATTGCACAAACTTGCATTGCGCACTCCCTTTATTTTGTCCATGTACATATCGATATATTTTCACTTACAAAGTCAAAGGAGCACCAAATTCTACAATATAGGCAAACAAAAATACATAATCTCAATAAAATACATTTTAAACCAAACAATAAAAATAACATAAAAAAGGAAAAACACGTTATACATTTAAGCACTACCTAAAGCAAATATTCACTTACCATGATTTTCAAATTCGCTTCGTACACCCAGATCCACGTAAAAATCAAAATATCAATCATACTCAAATGACTTTTTTCAAACTAGGTACTGTTTCTGATCGAATGCTTCACATAGTGGCCATCTGAATCTTTCTTCCTACAAACCAATTCACATCCATCTAAACAGTTTTTATGTTCAACTACATGCATATCCTTCCTACATACAGGACACTTATAATGGCTACTAAGTAAACCTTCATTTACACACCAGTCAATTAAAGCTCTTTTCCCCTTTCGCTCCAAATCGTACAGAAACTTCAAATTAATCTTACTACACTCGGCCATTCTACCTTCTAAAGAATCAAACCAACACACACCACAAAAATGCTTACAACACATCCCATAATTCAAAATTTTACAGAATCATGCACCCGATTACGTCACAATAGGGTTTCCATAACATTGAACTACTCAGGCTACCATAAATGAAACAACAACATCGGCATAATACAAGGGGTACCATAAAGTCTACTCTACCTGTAAACTTTAACCAACTGATGAAAGAATCGCTAAATTTATAAAAATGTTATCAATTTAACATATTTTCTTCAATTAAAGTGTTTGTTGGGTAAAATCCTAGTATACAGTGCAGCCTTGGCGCGATTTTGAAAGTTATCGCCAACACCAAAAATGACCCAAAGAACGTTTATGTATATACTATACACTATGCACTAACAGTCAAAAGTCGTTAATCCGGACTCGTCGGGACTTCGGCGATTCCGGATTATAGATCATCAGTTTAAATAATATAAGATGGCATGCAGAAATTACAAAATTTAAAATATGAAACCGTAATTTATGAAATAGAGAACAATTATGATCTAAAGGGTATCAAAATTTACAAAAAGAAAAAGCTTAATATTTATTTGTTTAGACTAGAAGAGAAACACGTTAATGTGACAATCAAAATCGTAAAAACAACCTTTAGCGTAGGTAGGTATAATGAAACATTCAATCGAATTCGAGGGCAGCTAAAGGTCCCTCCTCATCAGGAGAAAGAAATACCTAGAAAGAAGAAAAAAAAAAAAAAAAAAAAGGAGAAGGAGTCTTAGAAACACGTGGTCCGTATCAGCACTGCACGTGGTTAAAACTGGATTTTTAATCAGAGTTGCACTGGCCGCCTACTTTTACTGAGCCAGGCTATCTGATCAAGCATAAAGGACAAGAAAATTAGCGAAGTTAAAATAGGGAGCGAGGGGCAAATGCACCTTCACGCTCAAATCTGAACTTAACAAAAAAAAAAAAAAAAAAAATCAAAAACTTTGCTAATTTCTTCTTATGCTTGATCAGATAGCCTGGCTCAGTAAAAGTAGGCGGCCAGTGCAACTCTGATTAAAAATCCAGTTTTAACCACGTGCAGTGCTGATAAGGACCACATGTTTCTAAGACTCCTTCTCCTTTTTTTTTTCTTCTTTCTAGGTATTCCTTTCTCCTGATGAGGACTGACCTTTAGCTGCCCTCGAAATCGATTGAGTGTTTCATTATACCTACGCTAAATACAAGGTAGTTTTTACGATTTTGATTTACTTGTTTACTTTATTAAACATTTCTTTCAGTTGCTTCGTTTCTTGTGATAATACTCTCTTTTTAATTCTATTAAACAGATATAATTTCTTGTTTAGTTATAAAGTTCCGCTGTTCAAGTCCTATATGTCGAGAATACGGAATAATTTTTCATCATCGAAATTTTTTCATTTTCCTAACCTCTGTGTCACTTTCTTATCGGAAGCGTAATTAACTTAAACGTATTAAACCAGGTTTGGCGTAAAAAAGTATGAATAGAAAGAAAATGTACATTTATTAATTACAATAATTTTTAATACAGTTTTTTATATTATTTTGTTTTAAAATATAAAATAGCAACTAAACCCTTCCTGTTTTCGAATTTGAATAAGTTGCAGAATTATTTTTTCACCGGAAATCTTTTGGCTATTGCTTTAGCACTGATTGAAACCGTCTTCGCCATAACAGCTTCAGCTTGGCGCCATATAAATTCGATAAGGTAGAGTCAAGATGATGACGGGCTGTTCCTCTCTGTTTTTTGTTACGCCATTTGGCTGAGCCCCACATGTGCTCTACATGTGTGTTGAACGCCCGTGTGGGATCCACAAAGTTATTTTGTCATTACAGTTACATGCAGAAATCCAGCATTTTCGGGACTCGCTTGTGTTGTATCCTTCCAGCAATCCGAATAAATAATGCT